TGAGCCCATCTGTCTGTGTGCACTGCTGGGGGTGTGCTGGGCAGCAAAGCCTGGGCTATCCACAGACTTGGGGGCTTCTGCTCCGGCCACCGACTGGCAAAGGGATCCTGGCCAAGTCACCTCTCTGCTCCCACCTCAGTACCAGCTGTGGATGAAGGTTGCTAGCTTTGCTGCCACTGGATATTAGGAGGATTACATGAAGAGATGCATGTAAATGCCTGCACTAAGTAGGTGCCAGTAAATACGTATTTCCCCAGTCCTAACAGTAACCTGTGCTGAGCTGACTCATGCTAGAGGGGCCCTGTGAGAGGACCTGTTGTCATCCCCACTTTACAAATGAGGACACTGAGGCAGGGATGAGTCTTGTCACTTGGTCTAAGCCCACTGTGTTGAAACCCCAGCAATCTGGTCCCAGAGTCTGTGCTGGGAGCCATACACGGCTGAGAGTAGAATCCCCAGGAGCCAAGGCCCAGACATGGTGTCGGTTTAGCAGGTTGATTTTTGTGAAAAGTGCCCGGAGCTCAAGTTCCCACAGTGGTGAGTGAAGTTGGGGGATGGTTGGGAAGCACAGGTTTGGATCCTGTTTTTATTTAAAATTTTGATATTTTGTTCATCATGGATTTCTTGGCATTAACTGATCTCTATAACTGTTGCATTAAATTATCATTTTTGGCACCTCCTTAAATCTTGTGCAGAGGTGAGTGCCTCCTTCACTGCCCTACCCTCACCCTGGCCTTGCCTGGGACTCCCACAGTGACCGTAAGCCCCAGTGGGTCCCTTTTCACTCTGGATAAGAAGAGGCTGCTGGCGCCATAAAAAAGGATGAGTTCATGTCCTTTGTAGGGACATGGATGAAGCTGGAAACCATCATTCTGAGCAAACTATCGCAAGGACAGAAAACCAAACACCGCATGTTCTCACTCATAGGTGGGAACTGAACAATGAGAACACTTGGACTCGGGAAGGGGAACATCACACACCGGGGCCTATCATGGGGAGGGGGAAGCCGGGAGGGGAAAGGGATAGCATTAGGAGATATACCTAATGTAAATGACGAGTTAATGGGTGCAGCAGTACTGGGGAAATCCTGGTAGAAATATGTAACAAACCTGTAGTTGTGTACATGTACCCTAGAACTTAAAGCATAATAAACAAAATAAAAGTTCCAGTGACCACATAAAAAAAAGAAAAAAAAGAAAGAAGAGGCTGCTGGCTTGTAGGTGGGGCACTTCTTGAGAGTGAGACGGATTAGAGTGGTTTCTTCTTGCTGTTCTTCACATGGCCTGCAAGGCTACTCCCTGTTTCCTTCTCTTTTCAAATAAAACTGGAGCAGGTGTGGCATGATCAGCAGATGAGCAGGAGGTGGGGCAGCTGCAACTTAGCATTTGAGTCAGATACTGCTGCCACGCAATTTCACAGGTCCGCATTTGTTAGAAATTCTTGTTTATCAAAAATCTCTGTAGATTCAAGTGAAGGTGAGTCAAGTGTTTCACTTCAGTAAACGTGGATTCTGCACACTTCAGTGGAGAGCTGGGAGGTTTCTGATCCTTCCTCTGGATCTCCAGCTAAGTCCCGACCCATCGCAGTTTCATATTCTGACCTGATACTCACTTGACTTGCCACTTGCTGGTCCTAAAGATGGGGCGTGTTAGCAGGTCCTCAGATACGGTTTACTGATGGAGTCAGTAGAACCTGCAGATGTGGCCACAAAATGAACTTTATATTGTAGAGACATTAAGCTTGCTGTTACCGTGACTTGGGGCTGACTCTATTGGTGCTAAGAATGGCAGTTTGGTTGGACATAGTGGCTTTCAGAGTCCTGGGGAAATCCTAGTAGAAATCTTGGAGTGGGAAAAATGAACTTGTTCCAAAGAGGAGTCTAGGCTAGAGAGAGAAATATTGAGATTTGGGTGCCATCAGCGCATAAGTTAATTCATTCACGAATTCATTTGTACTTTCATTCATGTATTCAATAACATTTTATTGAGAATCTACTCTGTGCCAGCCCCTGCTATGGACACAATATCCTTGCCTTCACAGATCTAATGTTTAGTGGATATGTGGCTCTCAGGGGTAATTAGAGCCATGGGAATAGCTGAGACCTCCTTACAAGGAATCCATGAAATGAGAACTCACTGGAATCTGCCTCCAGAACACCAGCTGCAGGGAGCTCTGAAGGAGACCGAACCTCAGATGGAAACATGCTCAGCTCCTCACTCTGCAGCAAGCGAGCAGTGAGAAACAACAGAGATGCATTTTCTTTTGATTTTATTTTACCTGTCAAATCGTCAGGGTTAAAAAAATGGTAATAAAAAAGATTACACATAGGGAAGCTCGAGCTCTTGTACGCTTATGTAGAAGGACTCTCTGTCCCTTGATAGGATCGGTGTTTCAGGAGCAGCTGTTTGGAAATATGGATCAAGAGGCTGGAAAGTTTATCTACCTTTAGGCCCAACTATTTCCTTTTAGAAATTCAGGAATGGATTAGGATTTGTTATTTTATCATGAATATATATAAAAGACTGAGACATGAGAATTGTCATTACAGTATTTTTTTATAGTATTGAATAATTTGTTATCATTTAAGTGCCTAAGTGTAAGGGCTTATTCAATAAACAAGCAACATTACTCTATGGCCACCATGTAGCCATTAAGAATGAAGTGTTGAGGATCTTAAATAATGTGGAAAATATTCATGCTGTGCTGTTTTGACTACAAAGAAAGTTGTGGACTAATTTATTAAAAAAATGGATTGAGAGAAAATGTCTGCAATTTTTAAAACTAACAAAGGACCGGCTTCTAGATATAGTCTCACAAAGCAACAAGAGAAAGACAAGCAAGGAAAAAATAAGCAAAGGTTATGAGTAGTTAATTCACAGAGGAGAAATGCCAAAAGGCTATCAGGCATGTTAAGGAGTGCTCATACTCATTAGTAACTTAGAGAAATGGAAATTAAAATGACAATGCGAGAGCTCTTTCCTTCGATCAGATTGCAAACACTGGAAAGCTGGGTGATGCCAAGCAGGGTGGTAATGAGGTCACTGAGGAGCCTTCAGATGCTGTGTGGGAGATGGCCTGATGCCAGCTTTCTGGAGGCGTCTTAGTTGGTGGAACTTAGTTGCACTGAGCAGGCATACTCCCTTGACTCAGTTCTGCTGCTCCTGCCTTCATACCCAGAGTCAGTCATGAGAGCCCAGTGAAGGGATCCACGCAGGAATATCCACCCCAGCCCTGTGTGCAGGACGGGATGTTGTGGCTAATCCAGCCATCTATCACTGAGAAAGCCAACAAGTAAAATAGGCATGTGATGCCTACTTTGGAACACAAGGCAGCAGTTAGAGGAAATGAACTTGACAAACACAGAGTCACGTGGTGGAGTCTGAAGACATAATGCTGGGTGAAAGAGTAAGAGCAGACAAGATGCAGAAGAGCATTCGCTAACTTAAGTGTATGCGGATGGAAATCAGGTGCTGTGTGTCATACTCCTAAGTTCCATGCTGGTGTACTCATACTCACCAAGCGGGAGTGTGGGTGGGGTGGGGACACAGCAAATGCAAATGGAGAATGGAGATCCTGGTGATAAAGGAATAAATGAACACAGCCAGAGAGGAGCCCGCCCAGATCAGGGAAGAGGCTGAGGGATGTGAGCAACTCCGCCCACCGCCTGCCCCTTAGAGTCAGCCCCTCAAAGGAAACGACTTAATCCCCCACAAAACCCCATCCCAGTGCCCAACAAAAGCAAAAGTATAAATAAAGTTTGCATCAACACTATTATGATCATGTTCTTACTAAACTATATATTCACAGATAGAAGCTGGAATGTCAGCAGTCATGTTTTCTGGGTATGGGCGAGCATTATGTTCTTCCTGATTTTTGGTTTCCTCCTGGTTTTTGAAAATGAACTGACATGGCTTCTGTAATAAGAAAATGATTTCTGAAAATGAATTCAGAGAGTAAGCAGTCTGTGTGCTCGAAGAGGAGTCGGGGCAGGCTGGGTTCTGTACATAAAGAGTGAGAGGGTTTCAGAGAGGGGCCGGTTAGCCTTGCTGGTGACGTGTGGCTAAACTCCATTTTAGCCTGCAAGGAGTGTGTGTTTGGGCTAAAAACAAAGCATGATGTAACCCCACTACTGCTGGACCCACTTCTTTATGTCACTCTAGTTGCTACCTTGTGATTGTTGAATGCCTGCTGGGCTCCTGGATGACTTCCTACGTGGTAATGTTGAGTTTGGTGAGGGCTTTTACTCAGGGAGCCTGAACATTTTTGTCCCTTCTTAGAGTTTACTGAACTCCAGACAAACAAACAACAAACTATCCTATGTTATGGTGTAAGTCATAATTGAATGACAACTTTTGAAGGTGTGTACCTTTGGGAGGTCACTTATTGGTGAATTGGCCCTTGGCTGTTTTCATCATGTAAGTTTTTGCTCTTGTGCCTACTGACTTGAGGTTCCCAATTTGCAAACACTGCTCCTGTGTGCACTTAGGGATGAGCTCCTGTAAGCTTGGGGACTTAGAGGGTCATTTTGAGAACAAAATACCCTAAAAATGTCGAGTATAAACCAAATAATGCTTAGAATGAGGAATCTATCCTTACAGACCCATCATAGAAGGAACTTCTAGATATAGAATTATGTGCCTCTACAAATACCAGTGAACTCTTTACATCTCTTTTATGTATGCAGCCTTTTAAAAGAGAAGCAGCAACAAGTGCAAAGACAAACAACCCACCCTCCAAAAAACAAACAAACAAACAAACAAACAGGCTTTAGTGTGAAAGTTTGCATTTCAACTTGATGTCTAGCTGCCTATATGCCTTTGGCCCAGTTTCCTTACTTACCTAGAGAGAATAAGGGCACCCATCTGTCTGTGTAGCTGTAAGAGAGTCTGTCTGAGTCCTGTGTATAAGATCCCACAGTGCTGGGCACACACTAGATTGTGAATTTGTATTAATCACATCTAAATCTGAATCTCCTTTTTAAAAAGTCTTCCTTATTTTAGTCTGTTTCAGATTCTTAGGGGAACCATCTTCAATAGGAACTGGGCTGAGTGAGTACAGTACCTTATCCACGGCCAGAATCATCAGGAAGTGATGTGACAGGAGTGTTCACTTCTATTTGTTCTGAATTCAGATCTGCTTTGCCACAGCATGGAGGCAGAAGATCTTTCAAAGGCTGAAGACAGAAATGAAGATCCAGGTTCCAAAAGTGAAGGGCAGCTTGCTGCTGTGCAGCCTGATGTCCCACGTGGAGGGCAGTCCCCTGGCCCCACAGCTCTCTGGGACATGCTGGAAAGGAAGTTTCTGGAATACCAGCAATTGACTCACAAGAGCCCCACTGAGCGTCAGAAGAGCCTGTTGAGTCTTCTCCCCCTGTTCCTGAAGGTTAGTGTTCTTATTTTTGAAACTGTAAGGTGATAGGTGCTCTGGGACACTTCTGGGATGATTGCATAGTGAAGTTGGTGGTTTTAATGTCATCACAAGTGGACTCTGATTGGTTGCTCAGGGGAGAGTTGTCTTAGCCTGCTAGGGCCACTATAACAAAATGACATAAACTGGGTAGCTTAGACACAACAGACTTTTATTTCTCATAGTTTGCAGCCTGGGAAGTCCAACATTAAGGCACATTAAGTGTCTGGTAAGAGCTTACTTTCTGGCTCATGGAAGGTGTCTTCTTGCCATGGCCTTATGTGGTGGAAGGGGTGAGGGGCCTCTCTCAGGCTTATTTTATAAGGGCACTAATCCCATTCATAAGGGGCAGAGCCAAATCATTTTCCAAAGGTCCTACCTCCTGAGACCATTACCTTAGAGATTAAAATGTCACTATATGAATTTTGGGAAGACCCTAGCAAGAGTGACATGCCAAAGATGACAAGTAAGGCTCATTTCTAGGGTGGAGAGGGACTTAGAAAGGACAGACAGTTAGCTTCTGAGTAATACTGTCTCTTTAGTTAAAAAATATTACATTGTTCAACCACAAACCCAGTTTGGGAGCTAGAAATAAGGCCAGCTTCTTCTGGAGGGAAGAGAGGATGGTATGTCCTGACACAAGAGTCACGCAGGTGGCTGGCAACCTCGCACCCCAGGGTTGCCAACATCAAGGCCTGGGAGAGCCAGAATATCTTGCATCAAATAGTAACAATAATGCAAAGTGAGATAAAATGAGTGGAGAGCACCAGAGCTTCACTCACATCCTGGTCACAGCTCCACTAAGGAAACCAGCGTATCTGCTGGGTCTGCACTCTAGCTAGTGGCAGCTGGTGACAGGTTGGCTGCAAGGGATTTCCTTTGTTGTCTGGGAGCAATACTCCTGCCAGTGAGGTCTGCCTTATAGTTGAAGTCTAGTTGTAGCATTGAAAGCACTTTTTATGAGGACTTAGTGTTTACTTGACTATGGATTTGGGGTTATTTTTGAAAAGCGTATACCTACAAAATACTCAAAGCAGAGAGAACATGAGCTGCCTCTCACATTTGAAAGTAGACTATGGCAGATGGAGGCTTTGGCATGTTTTCATTGGTAAATGCCTTTGTGAATATATTTCCTGTAACTTATTCATCAGTAATATTTAAGGGTTTCCAAAGATGACTTAGAATCTTCTTGGAAACACATTTATAGGATGCATTCCATACTTAGCATTAAAAAGTTGCCAAATAACTCACTTTCCATTAATTCATCATTTCCTCATGTTTTGGACTTGTAGTCCCATTCATCTCATTTCACAGACTGCATAACTAGGGCTAGTTTAGGAGAGACAGCTAAAGTTTCTCAGCCCTAGCCCTGCCTGCCCTGACAACCCCAGATTCTGGGAGGTGGGATAGTCTTACTCCAGTTCCCAGGTCAAATTTGTCTTATGGAAGGGACAATATAAGCAGTCCCCAGCCCCCAGTGCAAGTCACTGGTGATGGGGATGAGTTCAGCCATTACTGAGCTGCTGGTTCTCAGTGGCACCGTTCCCACCCACATGGGCAGCCCGGGCTCTGATGAAAGGACTCTGCACCCAAGAGCCAGGACTTGATTCTTCTTCACCTCCCTGTTGTTTATTTGAGAATTCGTTTGTTTGCTGTACTAATATTTATTAAGCTCCTATACTCTGTTCTAAGGCCTGGGCTATAGGAGTGAAGAAGACAGAGGTTTGCCCTCATGGTGAGTGTGGCCCAGAGCAGAGGGCATCGAATAGCACACTGTGTGTTTCATTTGGCCTGCAGGGGTTCAGAATGAATTAGTGGCCATTTTTTATTTCTTTTTCAAAATGGAAAGCTTTCATATGAAAATCAGATTTCTAATTTATCTTGAAAATTTTGGTAGACCTAATACTGACAGTTATATGGGAAGGGTTATGGGGTTCCCCAGGTAACCTCAGAGCTCATTCCAACATATTTTACTCATCCCGTATTACTAATGAATGTTATGTCACCATACAGGCACGTGAGCTTGTGACTCCATATTTAAGTGTTACTATTATAAGTGAACCTTGATACTCATCTTTGTTTCCCGAACCCTGTCCTCTTCCCGATAATGGAGGCATAATGACCCTGTTGTTGAACATGTGGGCTTTCAAGTCAAAGAGATCAAAGCTGAAGTCCTGGCTGCATCACTTATTTATTAGTTGTGTGCTGTTGAGCAAATTACCAACTATTGCTGAACCTCAGTTACCCATAAAGTAGAGTTAATAGCATTTCGAGGAGAAACCATGAGGGTAAGACAAGACAATGATTATAAAGTCCACAGCTCATGGAAAGTAGACATTATTCCCATTACTTTTCCACCAGCCTTCAGGGTACTTACTGCACATGGACTGAAGCATTTGAGATTCCTGTCACCACGATTCCCCAAACTGCTGACACAATCTGCTACTCTGGATCCCTGGAGCCCACCTCTGGCAAACCCTGTAGAGGCAGAATATTATAGGCTTCTCATAATTTCCTTAATATTAATATTATTTTATTAAGTCCTACATGCCTACAAAACATTGTTTCTATTACGTTCCGACTAATAAAACCTTGCCAGAGCCAGACTGCTCAGCCTTCTTAATTCAGAGTTGGTGGTGGAAAGAAAGATGGGGAAGATGGGAGATTCTTCTCAGGTGTAGTGCAGATCAAATCTAACCTGAGATGCAGCTTGAGAACATTTACTAGAATATAGGCCCTTGTGTAAGAAGATAAGCTTGTAACCACTCTGTTCTGAATTTTATAACTATAAAACAGTGTTCTTTAAGGTTTTCCATGAAGTTCCCCCTTGGAAATAACAGAACCTAAAATGTTATGCCACTTCTGGAATGTGGCTGTTAACATCAAAGCCTTATGCATGTATTGGTTCTCATTGAAATCATACCCTGCCTGGGCTCTGAGACTCCTGAGTACAAACAAAAGAGTCCCGAACTCCCATGTGTGATGGAGCTCAACTCTATACCTGACTCTCTTCATTTTTGGCTCAAAGAAAATTAATTAAGATGATTTGGAATATTCTTTGTTCCAAAGCAATGCACACAAGGGATTTTGAATTGTCACTTCTGCTCAGAAAGGCCATGTCCCTGTGGTGTGGGGTCTTGTCTTACTGACCCCCAGCCTCTTTATTAGTTAGACTCTGATTGGAAGGGGTGATCTGTGTTGTAGCTGGGGCTGGGTGAATCAGGTTGACAGCTATGTGTGCCTCTCCTAAGTTGTTGTCACCTGGTAGCTTCAGCCTTATGAGTCTTGAGATTTGACAATGGGCATTGTCTTGTGCATCAGACTCCCTCAGAGCTACTTCTTTGGCATCTTCTTCCCAGAGAAGAACTTCTCATTAGCCTGTTTGGTTTTCTCTCATATCTGACTCCTTCAAACACAGAGCACTGAACTTTCCCCTATCCCTGTCATTGTTTATACTTGAATCTGCAGTAACTGCTAGGCAAGCACAAAGGTGGGCTTGGTTCGTGGTACAGTGAATCCCAGCCCCACGGCCTCTTGAGGTGAAGAGTGGCTGCAGGAGTGCTAACCTACTCAACATTTTGGCTACTGTCTAGGTAATAAGGAAGAACCCAATGGAATCTCAACAAACTGGAACCCAAAAAGGGAGCTGCCCTGAGGGGAAGAGTGAGAAATGGGATTCTCACCCAGAACAGCAGGTTCCCTCCTTACCTAGGGTTCTTCACTCTTCTTGTTAGGTCAAGGAATTCTTAGCCAAGGCACATTGAAGGGTGTTTCAGTCCTGATTTAGGGTCAGCTCCTTCCAACCTAGCCTTTTCCCCTTTTCTTTTATTTCTTTTTAATGTCACCCTATTCTTTCTTTGACCTATACTAACCAACGTGTATATTAGAAATGAGGCTAAGAGATGAAATGATGCCTTAGGTTCCAACACTAGCAAGGGGCAGAGCCAAGACTTAAACTCAGGCACCCTGATGCCCAGGTGAGCAGTTGCTTTCACTGATAATAGCTAGGTAATATCCTACAGGTTCTAACTAGCTAGCCAGACATTCCGTTCAGTGTTTACATGTCCTCACAATAACGCTGTGATGTAGGTAGTATTTTTATCCCAGCTTTATAAATGAGGAAAGAGAGGTTTAGGGATGTTGCATAACTTGGCCAAAGTCCCCCAGTTGTCAGCTGGGAGCAGAATGTTACCAGGGCAGTCTGCTGAAGCTCTGCATTATTAACCACTGGATGTCCTTGCTCAGTGCTGGGGTTCCTAGGATGGGGCAGATCTGGTTTTTCTTTCCTTATTTCATGACTCACTGGACAATGGCTTTGCCTGGTTAAGACCTTACCTTTCCCTTGGGCTCAGAAAGAATGTCACCCCCGCACGTAAGATGTTTAGATTGCTGACTCTAGGGTGTTGCATATAAGGAGGAAGTTTTATTTCATCACATGGAAGCAACACAGAGCCAATGACTTCTGTGGTGTGTAGGGTAGTGTTTTTTAAGAAAGATTCAATAGACTGTTGTTCTTTTCCTGCCAAGAGCCTTGGGGTTTGGTCTTTTCAGAACCTTTCCCATCGTATGATCTCACACCAAGTGAAGAAGGTGTTCTTCTAGCAATCATGGGAAGGTGCTAGTTTTGGGGGAAGAAAAGCACTTGAGGTCCTCATATTGCACAGAGATATCCTGTAATAATAGAAATAGGGAAATCTAGAGCTACAGCAGTAGCCACTAAGGTTTATTCATAGAATGTGGACTTTGAGAGAAAGCAGAAAGTAAAATAGAGAATCCTCAGCAATTAATGTAAAATCTATCAATGTCTGAGATAGACAACCTGGGAGGTGGGGCCACATTGGAGAAAAGGGAAATATGTGAATGTGGTAGATTAGAGGTGCTGTGAATGGGCTCACACTCTTCCCTTCAAGAGGTGAGATCTTCATCCCTTCCCCTTGAATCTAGATGGATTTGTATTGACTGGGCTAATGGAACAGGGCAGAAGAGATATTTCCAGACATCAGCCTCAAGAGGCTCACAGCTTCTTCTGCCTCTCACTTGGCATACTCACTCCTAGAGTCTAGCTGCCATGTTGTGAGGAAACCCAAGTAGTTCTGAGTGAACACCTGTGTAGAGAGGATCCAAGGCCCTGACCTTGAGGTTGCACTTGCTGCTGACTGCCAGCGCCGTCTGGCCAGCCCTGTGAGCACACCCACCATCTTGGAAGTGGATCTCTTAGCTCCCATTAGCTGTCCTAGCAGAGTGGAGCACAGAAAATGTGTCCCTGCTGAGCCCTGCCCACATTGCAGATCCATGAGCAAAATAAATGATTGCTATTATTTTAAGCCACTGAATTTAGGGGTGGTTTGTCATGCACAACAGGTAACTGGAAAAGTGGGTAACACAAGAAGGAATACATCCATTTCCTAGTACGGAGGGATTGAAATGAACACTAACTTAGTTGTATTTAGAGGTGAGTGTATTTTGGTGTTTGTGTGTGTGCATATGTGCACATTCCTAGGCTGACTAGTCAGCCAATGGTGCAGAGTTTATGATGTTGAGTATGATTGATCATTCTTGTAAAAACCAAGTGTGGATCTAACTGATAATTGAAGAAAGATAAACACTGTTAAATAAAATAGCAAAGATGGCCAACAATTATTTTTAAGTGTGGTGTCCAGAGGGGAGAGTAAGGGTAAATACCCCTCTTTATCTACTCCTCACTCTACCCCTGTTGAGTGGAGTGGGACCTGCAACATGGTTTATTCCAATCTTGGGGAAATAACACTTTTGCTGTTTTGTTATTTTAGCAAAGTTTTGGTGCACTGTTTTTTGTTTTTGTTTTTGTTTTTTAACAGAGGAGAGGGTCCACTGCATCACACTCACAGGGAAACTTCATGCAAAGTCTCAGAAATGCTTTGAGCTCCCTTAAAGACAAACCTGACAAACTCTGCAGTAATGGAGGAATAATGACATTTTGTTCATGCTGGAATACCAACCATGTTCTCTTTGTCATTCAAAAGCTGGATTTTTCCTCTCATCTCCCCTAGAGCTTTGCCATTCTTTATTTTCCTTTGGAGACCAGAGCATCATTTTCTTTCTCTTTCTTCCATGTGAAGGGACAGCCATGAGGCATGATGGTGCAGCTTAGATAATGTTAGCAAATAAAAGTTTTTAAAAATATTGAGCAATATTCTCCCAGCATGTAAATCCCAGTTTGGGAAAAAATTAGGGCCTTTTGGAAGCTGCCTTAACTCTTTGGGGTCCCCATGGTACCATTCAGTAAATGATTGGCTCTGTGCATCAAACAGCACCCCGGTGGCCTGAAAGAGTTAATGCAGCTTCCAGAAGTGCCCATTGAGGTCCCAGGAAGGAATCTGGGCCTTGGGAGATCTGGCTCAGAGTACAATTACTGTTCAGCTCACAGTGGCCCAATTTGCTTTATTGTGGAGTGCCTCCTGGAGTCCCACTGCTCCAGAGACGATATAGATGCTTCTGAGTCAACTGCCTGCAAATTGGTCTTTGAGGGGTTTGTCAGTGCAGGGAGGAGTTGCAGGGATTTGTTAGAAATACATCGTAGCAGAGTTCTCATTTCTAGGGAAGGAAATCATCTTGCCACAGAAATTCCAAGCCAAAAGGATGGACTTTTTCTCTCCAGGGATTAACGTGTCTGAGTGGCAGCTGGCTTGCAGGTGGCAGCCATAAGTTTCGTAGACGTGCCAATGCTACTTTGGGTATGTGCATGTGTGTGTGAAATAATTCAAACCCTGACTCTGCCACTTAACTGATTTCTCTTAAACTCCGGCTAAGCCTCAGTTTCTGTAAAGTGGGCATAATAATAGTACAAACCTCAAAGGCCTGTTGTGAGGATTAGTGGAGCTAATGCATGGAAGTGTAATGCATAGTGTAAGTGTTTAGCATGGCACCGAGGCCCAAAACATTTAGTCATTGTTACTGCGTATCATGGGTTTCATATTCGTTTCATTCACTTATCAAGTATGTGTTGGAGGTCTGCTATGTCCAACAGTGTTTAACAGTAATCTAGCATTTTGGTTGTTTTACCAAAGTTCTAACCCACTACTTAAAAAAAATTTACATAAGCAAACGCCAACCAAGTCTATTTATAGGGTAGAAAAAAATTCAGATCCATGTAAAATTTTGCTCAAAACACATGAGTACTCACAAACCAATATATAACAAATAAAACATTTCAGATAAACTAAGCTCCCTGTGTACACATTCTATAGATCGTTCCCCTCCCTTTTCCTCCAATGGGGTTCTCTCTCTTGAATTTGGGGTGCCTCATTCCCTGGGTGGATGTTCATTTCTATTAGCTACATATACAGCCATCAGTAACATTCAATCTAGTCTTACAGGTTTTTATAGACTCATACTGTAATATACTTTGACAATTTGCTTTTTCCACTCAACATTCTATCTCTGGGATTCATTCATGTTGATGCATCTAGCTCTATTTCTTGTTCTGTACTATATAGTACCCTATTATATAAATATATGACAAATTATTCATTGTCTCATCAATGTATATTCAGTAGCTTTTTCCCCAGTTTTTCACAGCCACAAATAATGCCACACAAATGTTTCCTGTTCAGTACATGTGCCAAAATTTCTTTAGGGAATACACCTAGGAGTGAAATTGCCAGGTGGTAGAGTGTGTGCCCCTGTAACTTTGTTGGATCAGGTTAAACCCTTCTTCAAAAGGTTCTTCCAACTGATACTCCGTAAGTAGCACATGGGGGTTCCAGGATCCCTCCCATTCTCCTACATTTGGTATTGTCAGGTATTTCATTTTTGTCCACCCGAAAAGTATAAAATATTGAGGTTTCAATGTCCACTTTATGGATCATTAATAATTTGTTATTTATTTCATCTTACATAAATGACCTGTTTTTTCAGTTGTCTATTCTGTTCTTTTTTAAAAAGCAGGTTGTTTTTGTCTTATCTATTTTTAGTGGTCTAGATACTAATCCTCTGTCAGTGGCATGCATTGTGAATATTTTCTCCCAGTTTGTGGCTTGCCTTTTCACTTTGTTTATAGTATCTTTCAATAAAGGGAAGATTTTAAAAGGCTTTTGTTTTTAACAAACATAATGCCACAGCAAGACACACATTAAAAATGTTTTTCCTCTTGGGTTTTGAAGCCCTCCTTATCTTTCCTAGATGGAAGAGCTCAGATTAAAAAAGAACTCATTCAGGTCTTCGAGTAGGAGCTTAAGTGAAAGTGGGTGGTGGGTGGTGCTGAGTAGAAGCAGGGCAGCAAAACTGCCTTCCATGGAGGCCATGGATGCCCAGAATGTGCGCAGCAGCTGACCTTCCTGGTGGGAAGCAGGGACAGGGAATCTCTCGAGAACTCAAGTCCTGGACCAAGGGCAGTCCCTCCACTCTGACCATTGGTCTGGAATGAGCCCTTCTCATCGCAGGACTAGGAAACTTAGCCAGTCCTACTTAGCCAGTTCTACAATACAGTAGAACAAAGAGAAAAGGCCATCTGCCCAATGACTTGGCTGAAAAGCAGACTTACGAACAGGGCTACTACAGAAATAGGGAGTAAATTATGAAATGAGTCTGGCATTCCAAACAGAATTTTAAAACTCCTGACTTATACTAAATAGTATCCTGATAATAAGGGGAAAAGTCTGCAGAAAAAGGTGATTAGGTGGGATAGAAATACAGAAAGGGCAGATAAGAAAGAATTTTAAGGAAATTGAAAAAGAGGAGATTAAAAACAACAAGCTGGACTAGAGAAGAATCTTTTAAGCCTGGAACTAAGCCAGAAATTTTAAGAATAGATTGAGAAATTTGATTTCATGGGAATTTCAGATTTCTGTGTAGCAAAACCAAACAACAGCAAATTAAAAGACAAAATGACAAACTCAAAATAACTGAAGTTATATTATGGCCCATCTAACATTTTTTAGGTACAAAGAGCTCTTTTAAATAAATAATAGTAAAATCCCTAATAAAGTTGTAGGGTAAGAAAAGAAACAGGCAATCAAGAAACCTGAAAAAAGGTTATCCACCCTAGGAATCAAAAGGCTGCCACTGAGATGAGATATTTTTTCGCTTCTGAAGTTTTTCATTAAGGATGAAAGAGCACAGCGATGCTCAGTGTTGCCGAGGGTGTGGAGAAACCTGTCCGCTCACGGGAGGCCTGGAGAGTCTCATCTGGTCAACTTTGTCTGGAAGCCGAGTTAGTAATATGTACCAAAGTACTAGAAAATAAAAGCACACCCTTTAACTTGCAAGCCAACTTTTTGGAATTTATCTAAAGGAAGTAATTGAATGACTAAAACTGGGATATCTATACAGAATTTGAAACTGTATATGAGGAACAACAGGAGGGGTTGGATGAAGGCCGAGGAAGGGAGAAATCTGGAGAGGCAGTCCTGGTTCTCCCACAGGGACAGCGGGCGCCTGGCAGGGTCATCCACTGATACCAGATGCAGCAAGCTGTGGGGGAGGCGGTGGACTGGGCTCTGTGTGTTTGAGGTCTTAGGGGCTCGTGTTGAAGGGGATGTCTGGGCAGTTAGAGAATCTGGACGTATTGGTGTAGGGATGGTGGTTGAGGCTGTGAGGGTGAGTGTCGTGGTGGCCTTTTGTATGCACCTGGTAAAGGAAGTCGAGCTGTCAGCTTGGGCCGGTGAAGGGCAGCATGGCGGGTGGTGCTCATGCCCTGCTTGTGGCATTGCCATCTCTGACCAAGTCCCATCTGTTGCTTCAGGCTTGGGAACACTCCGTGGGGATCATCTGCTTTCCCAGTCTCCAGAGGCTGGCTGAAGATGTGTCTGACCAGCTTGCCCAGCAACTCCAGAAGGCCCTTGTTGGGAAGCCTGCGGGTAAGAGTACGGACGTGCTGGCAGATCCTCTACAGAGAGCAGTGCAGCCCTGCACACCCTCCCTGGTCTCTCTGGCCCCTCTCTGCTTTCAAGTGGAGCTACAGTGTTGCCTGTCAAACAGAAGTGGGCCCCACTTTGCCACTGAGTGCCTTGGGGACCAATGGAAACGCAGGAGGAGGGAAGAGGGGTCAGGGAGCTCTGCTACTTCTGGGACACAGACATAGACAAACAAACACACACACTGCACACAATACATTATACATGGACACACAGATACACTACACACAGATGCTACACATGCACAGACACTACACACAGATGTTACACACAGATACACACAGACACACAGAGATACAGAGACACACACACATATACTACACACACAGACACATACAGAGACCACACACAGAAACTACACACAGACACACACTCTACACATGCAGACACATCCAGAAACATGCTACACACAGAGATACATATAGGCACACACACACACACACAGAAACACTGCAACACAGACACACACACACAACACACAGGGGACCATGGTGTCTCAGAGGAAGTGCTAGGATTGAAGATGCACCTGTGTGTTCAGTGGAGCTCTTGGTCCTGAAAAGATACAGAGGCCAAAGTGTGCATCTCTTGTGGGGCCTCCTGACTTGCATTCTTCCCCTCATGTGCACTGATCCCTGGAGGCAGGGCAGAATTTCACAGTGGCTGAGGGCCGAGGGTCAGAAGGAAATTCTAAGGGGAAGAAATTGCTCAGCATGGTATAGGTTTCAGGAATTCTTGCAACATAAGGGACTGTGTGATCCAGGAAGTAGGGGAAGATTCTGGGTTGTGGGGAGTCTGATAGCCAAGGAGCTTGTTCTCACTCATTGGCAGTCAGGAACCACTGATGGTTGCTAAATAGGGACGGTGGCACGAAAAAGGCTGTCTTCCAAGGAGATTAGTCTGGCAAGGTGTGGAACGTTTGGTAGAGACGCAGGTGGCCTTGGGGATGTGTAGGAAAGATGCCAAAGTCCTCTACAGATGCTCAGGCACATCTCCTGGGAAGAGGGGGCCTTGGATGGAGGGGAAGCTGGGTGGGCAGGTCATTGTATGCCCTGCTGGTGACACTTTCTTCCAGAGCAAGCTCGATTGGCAGCTGGACAGTTGCTGTGGTGGAAGGGGGACATGGATCAGGATGGCCACTTGCTCCTGAAGTCAGTGTACGTGCTCACGGGGACAGACTCGGTGAGTTTCAGGCCATTGGCCTCTGCCCTGGGCACTGCTCATCCAGGTGCAGAGGGAGGTCGAGCACAGAGTGGTGGCATGTCCCAAAAGGGTCATTCGTTTCATAAAACAGATTGATTATTTCTCCTCCCTCCTCCCCTTCTGGTGTAGAACATGGAGTTCAGAGTCTGAAATTTCCACCTTCCCACTTGACAAGCTCTATGTAACTGTGGCCAGATTGCTTTCCCTTTCTGCCCCTTGGTTGCATTTCTAATTTTAGGATTGGGGGTAATAACGCCTCTTTTCTGGGGTTAGTGTGGGATTGATAACAGCTGATGTTTATTGACTATTTCTTACCTGTGGGGCAAGGCTGGGTGTGTCCCAGACATCATCAGTTAATCCTCCCAAGGACCCTATGAGTCAGATCACGGTGATACCAGTGAGTGATGAGAATGTGGACTTACCTACGCTGTGCACCTGCAGTCTGTCTGATTCCAGAAGCCATGCTCTGAGCCACTGTTCTTTATTTCTTCCTGTTACAGTCAGCCTGAACGACGTGCCCTGTAGGTACCTGTCCTGCCCTCGCCCAGAGATGAGGGCTGTCCTCTTTCTTCCCTTCCCACCCATACCCACCGCATGCCAGGAACACAGGAGGGAACCAGGGTGGCTGCTGCCCTCAGTGTAACTTCTCCAAATTCTTCCAGTTTCTACCTGCTACTCAGTTCCAAAGCTGCTTCACTAGATGAACCCACACATGAGACGGGCATTTGCAGCCATGCTTGGAGGGGCGATAGGAGCATATCACACAGCCCTTGTTTGGGGCCAGGGGGTGGTACCTGATCTGGGAAGTTAACTGAAGGGGGGACCTCCTGACTCTTCTTCAGGTAAACTGCCTGCACCACTGTCAGGCACAGCGGCCTGAAGCATAGCACGAGGGCTCATCACATCTGCCCCTGGGGAAGGACTCTCTGCAGTCTAAGTGGTGACACATCAACCTAAGGGCTTGCTTTTCATTGCCTGTGCATGATGCATTGGGAGTGAGGTAGGGGAAGGACAGGGAGAGCTGCCCTGAGGGGGTCAAGGTTAACAAGGTGTCAAATACATGGAGGACAGTATCTTGCACTGTAAACCCTTCCGGCCAAGGTTAGGACTAGCAGCCTGCGTCTAGTCCTGATCCTGGCCCAGATTATACATTCGTCCTTCTCTTTCTCTGACTTCCCCATCATGTCTATCAGGTTAACCAATGGAGTGGGAAGTTGCATGGACAGCATTCCATAGGTTGACCCCACAGGTGCTCACATGTGCGCATGCACACACACATGTGCGCACACACACACATGCACACATGCAAGCACAGGCACACACACACGCACACATGCAAGCACATGCACACACACACGCACACATGCACGCACATGCACACACACATGCACACATGCACGCACATGCACACACAGAGGGTGCAGCTGCAGTAATCCTGGTGAAGCTGCAGGCAAAGCCCCAGGAAGAAAGATCCCAGGAAGCTCCTGGCAGGCTGGTCTCCATCTCTGCAGACTTCCTGTCCTCTTGGCCTCTGTCTGGCAGCCCTGAGCTGTTTAGTTGAGTTGCTGGCTGTCTGATTGTCAGTCATCACCTATTGTGCTGTTTGGACCTTGACAAGATCTGTCTGGGATCTAGATGAGAGGGTGGGGAGGGGCCTGATTAGGTCCTCACCACTGTTGTTCACACACATATTATCAACTTCACCTCTGGACTGCTTTCCCTTCCTAATCATGAGGCCCTGGGCCACAGTCACCCAGTATGATTTGCTAGGAAGCCGTTATATTCTAATTTATACAGTCCCTCCCCTTTTCCCTCCTTTCCACCCTTCCTTTCTTCCTTCTTCCTTCTCTCCTTCTTTCCTTCTCTTCCTTCCTTCCTTCCTTCCTCCTTCTTCCTTCCCTCCTTCCTTCCTTCCTCTGTGCAATCTTAATAAGGAGCTATGGAGCACATAGTAGGCACTTTATATAAACTTAATCTTCATAGCCACCCTAGGTGCATCCTCTGGTTGTCAGCATTTCACACCTGATGATTGGAGCCCAGAGGGACTGTCCCACGGCCTCACTGAAATGGCTGCAGGGGCCTGATCCTGGGTCTGGGCTGACCTGCTTCTGCTGCCTTGCTGCCCGGGGTCACGTGTGCTCTTCTCTTGCAGGAGACGCTGGGCAGGGTTGCTGAGTCTGGGCTTCCAGCTCTGCTCCTACAGTGCCTTTACCTCTTCTTTGTCTTTCCTCTGGACAAAGACGAGCTTTTTGAGAGTGATCTTCAAGTTCAAAGGATGTTCGTGCAGGTGAGTTCGAAGAGGGTCTCCAACTCCCTGGGTCAAAACCTCATTTCGGGGACAGACTCTTCAATGCTTCCCGGAGATGCTTTTATCTTTCTCAGCCCTGGTTCCTGAACTTCTCTGTTCTCCCAGAGGGTCTAAGCTTCCCTTCCCCTCCCCCTCACCTCCCTCATGCTTTGCATGGCCTGCATGGTTGGAAAATAAATTGCCTCCTCTTCCCTGCACCTCATTGTGTCCCTATAGCACTGTCCCCTCCCTTGCTGTCTCCCAGAAACGTGGTCCCCTGCCCCTGCACTTGGCTTCCCTGCACCCATCCAGCTCCCCTCCTCCAGTCTGCATTCTCGAGTCCTGCCCATCCTCCCTGGGATCTGGAACCTCCTCTCCAGCCCCTTCTCCTCTGTTAACAAGCACAGTCTGCCCCAGTAGCAAAACAGTAGCCAAAATTTTCTAAGTATAAGTTTTGTATCCACCCCTGTGCCACAGTCTCACACGGGTCACCTCCAGGAGTACTCTCTGCCATCCCAGAATGTGAGTAGTGCTGTAATCCTGGTCCCATACAAATTGAGGCATGGTGAGTGAGCATGAGGTCTGGGGTCATAGAGGTCTTGGATGGGGCTGGGATTGGCACCCTTGAGTAAACTTGAGTTTACGTGTTCTTGGTGCCTCTTCCCTCCTCTCAGAAGACGTTTCAGGCCTCTAAGCATCAAATGCAATGTCCTTCTCTCATTCCCCGTCTTTCCTCTTCTGTTTGACTGACTAACTTCTCACTTCTTTCCCCTGCCCACTTCCGGGCAGTTTCTGCTTTCTCAGCTTCTGACATGCTGAGCTCTCCAGACAACTCTTCCTGCTCCCTGAGCTTGCAGGGGAGGGTACGGAGGACCGTGTGGCCCAGGAGGATACGGCGGACTGTGGGGCCCATTGCTGTGTGTCCAGCGTCTGCAAAGTCTCACACAGAGCAGGTGCTTGTGACTGTTCAGTGAAGTCCCAAATGCAGCTGTCCATGGTACACACATGTCCAATTGGCATCCACATTAGACAAATTCCCAAGTCCATTCTTCATTTCCAGAGGGTAGTGCATGAGTTCTGGCAGGTTCCATTAACGGTGGGTTACCTTCTGAGTTGCATTTGTGGAAATGTAGTATTCATCTGCTTTTATGTCAATCATATTCTAAGTGGAGGCCAGGACGCTGCACCAGGCACTTTCACAAATGTTTACTGTGTGACTTTTAGGTGCCCTGAAGGGAAGTGGTGCAGGGTCTGTCTTTGAGGTCTTCTGGGTACTGGACAGAATGTGTGCCACAGGGAATAGACCATACCTGCATTGCTCAAGGGTTTCTCTTACTTCATTTCACAAAAATATATGGAGCCCCTACTGTGCGCAGCTCTATGCCAGACAGACGGTTACTGCAGCAAGCATAGGGCTTCACTTTGAAAGGTGACAGAAGGGTGAAGAAGCCAAACAAGGGGTAAACAATCCAGGAATAGGTATGTAGTTAGCAAGTAAAAAAATAGAGATGAGGCTTTGCTCTGTTGCCCAAGCAGCAGAGCAGCAGTTAGCAAGTTTTTAAGTGCTCTGTAGGTAAAGCCAAAGGTGTGTTGGGCAATGATAGCAAAAGGCCCTGATTTGTATGAGAGAATCAGTGGAGTCTATTCTGAGGGCATGGCATGTAACCAGAGAGCTGAGGGTTGTCAGGGTCCGAGGAGGTAGCCTGGCCTGGTGGAGTGGAGGAAGTGGAGAGGAGCAGAGAAATGGCCATGCAAGCCCAGGGACAGGTTAGACCTTGGTCACATGGCCACACCTACCTGCAAGAGAGGCAGGGAAATGGGACCTGCAGCTGTGGTCCATGATGCCCAGCTTCTCTATGTATCAGACTAGAAGGGGCAAATGCCTTCATTCCCATGGAAGGAGCTTGTGATATTTGCCACACTGGCAGCAGGTCCTGTTGGACCACCAAAAGCCCAGGGGAGAGCTGCAGTGGATAAAGTGAGTGAGAAGGCAGTGCTAGTCCATGCAGGATGCTATGGGCCTTGCTATGGTGCTGGGATTTTATCCCAAGTGGAGAGGGAGGTTTTGCAAGTCCCTCTGTTAGCCATTAGGAAAAGAGATTGGCAGGAACAAGGAACCCAGTTAGGAGGTTGTATACTCACCCTCGTGGTCTCATGGAGAAGTAGAGTCTGAGTGTCAACAAATAATTCTGAAACACTTCCCTTTTTAAATAGCACAGGGGCCTGTTAATTCTATACCTTAATTGTGGGTGACACTTTTTGGTATCCCCATTAAAAACACACAAAGTCAGTTACTTCTTTATTATTCTGATTTGGAAGGGATAACAATTATTTGTAGAGAGTTGATGCCATCAGATTTGAGCCCCAGGTCCTGCTACCCTTTCGTAGGGGCTCTGTTGACCCTGCTGGTCTGGAGTACAGGGTGACCCCATTCAATCCTGTCCTTCCCACTGAGACATGCCCATCAGTGCTCCAGAGAAGTAGGGAACAAATCCATCCCAGGAAGGAGACTTCCTAACCAGGTCTCATTGGCTGTTTATCTTCTTATTTTTCAGATGTTGCTCAATATTTGCAGTGACTCTCAGGGCCTGGAGGGACTCCTCTCAGGAAGTGAGCTGCAGTCTCTGCTGATTGCCACGACCTGCCTTCGGGAGCACAGCTGCTGCTTCTGGAAGGAACCCACCTTCTGCGTGCTAAGGGCAATCTCCAAGGCCCAGAACCTCAGCATCATCCAGTACCTGCAGGGTATGGCCCGGGAGACTAGGTGTGGGCTGTGGGCCACGCAAGGGCTTCCCTTGAACTCAGAGCAAAGGCTGAGGGCCCACTTTCTACAATGAGACCTGGGATGCTCTTGCAGCCTCTGTATAGAATTTGGGGACCAAAGAAGAGAAGAATGAGCAGCCATGTCCAGTAGATAATTCTACATGGCTTGGCTCCCTTCATGAAAGTGCTTTTCTTGTTCATTTTGCTGCTCCATTGGAGGGAGGAGGGAAAGAGGATCTCACTGTGCACATACTACCCATCAGACACTGTGCTGGGCCTGTTTGTACACTATCTTGCTTGTTTCTTTGAGATAGCTATTAATGCCATTTTGGAATGGGGAAAATAGACATTAAGAGCAGTAGAAGAATTTTTCAAGGCTATTCAGCTAGTGAGGAAGAGAATGCACTTTCAAACTTAAAAATGCCTGATTCCAGCACCCTCATTTTTACCCTGGGAACTATGTGTAGGGGTTAAGGCCAAAGACTCTGGAGCCAGACAGCCAGGACTGGACTCCAGCTCTGTCCTCATAGTTGAGTGATCTCAGGCACTTAACCATTGGGGTGCCTCAGTTCTCTCATCTGTAAAATGGGGATAATAATACTGCTGATCTTACTGGGTTGTTGTGATTCTTTGCGGCTCTTCTGAGTCCTCGCAGCTGAGAAGCTGAGCTTGCATTATCTCGAGTTCTCATAGGTACTTTTTCTGATCCACTGGATTGGCTTCCCCAGCACTCAGAGGAGGCTTCTCTCAATGAGAGATTTCTAAAAACAGTGACCCATCCAAATGCAAATCTGACGACCTCTCTTTTCAGACTCAAATCTTCCCCTGGCTCCACACCACTCTGGTGGGGTAGCCAGTAAGCCCCATGGCCTGCCTCCTAGGAATGGGCCACACCCTCCTTCCTCTCTGTGGGCCACACTTCAGTGTTCCAATCTTCCGGCTTCTTCAGTATCCAAAGCACCCCATCTTTTCACCCGCTGCCTCCTCACACGTTCATACATCCTCCCCTGCACTTTTCATCAAGCTGATTTCTGCTCAGCTCCAGCACTACCTCGTTAAGATCTGAGATGAGCTCAGGTCTTGCATTTTACATCTCACTACCTAATGGACCTGGACTCTCCCTCTTGCTGAGAATTAGGGACAGAGGGCTGAGGGACTGCCTTCCTCTCCTGTGCCACCTGCTGGGCTTGCAGAGTGTGGCTGTCAGGGTAGCACTTTCTCTGGGGCAGTCTTCTTGATCCAAGAGCCAGCAGAACATGTTTTGGATTAATTCCCATTCATGTCTTGACATATTGTTTGGAGTAGGGGAGGTAGGTCGACCATGGCAGGAAAGCTCTTGCTTCCAAGCTCAGCAGGTCTCTCCTGTGCTTCCCTCCTCCAGCGACAGACTGTGTCAGGCTGTCCCTCCAGAACCTCTCCAGGCTCACGGACACTCTCCCCGCCCCTGAGGTGAGCGAGGCTGTAAGCCTGATCCTGGGATTTGTGAAGGACTCCTACCCCGTCTCCTCGGCTCTGTTCCTGGAGTTTGAGAATTCAGAGGGCTATCCTCTGCTGCTCAAAGTGTTACTTCGGTAAGTGGCTGTGTTTGGTACAGGGAGAGCACAGGACCACCAAAGCCTCAGTCTTCGGAATCACTGGGGTGCTTTGGAGAAAAATAGATAGAGCTCCACAGAGCATGGCCAGAGAGACCTCTTATTTGAAAAAGTGATTCATTGTGCAGACAGGCATGGGGACCACTTCTTTAGAGAATCAGTAGTTTTACAAAGTTTACTTTGTTTTACAAAGTTTTACAAAGTTTACTTGTAGGCACCTGTCACCTGCATGCTTGTTGGCCTGATTTTCCCCAGTCAGAACCCAAACAGAAGCCCCGTCTGTTGGAGGGCTTCTGGCACTGCTGTAAGCTGCCCTGCCTGTGTGCTTGGAGGACTGGAAAGGTCTGGAAATGAATCACCCTCAGGACCAGCTGTTCACCAATGGCTGAAGGAGCCAACGGGTGCATACCTAGCACAGCTGCCTTTGGGTGGGCTTGCTCTGCGTGGCCTCCAGAGCTCCCCAGATGGATTATCTCCAGTGGCCCCATGAGGCGCTTGCTTGCTAATGCTCTTGGACTGATTTCCTTCCCTTCCCTGTCTCACGTGGCCTGTCTCCTACTGGTGTTTTCTGGGATCAACTCCTAAGTGAACTACCTCTTTCTCAAATCCTTGAAATATGGGAAACCCAAGCTCAGACACTGTTCAGCAGGGGCTGGGCTGGCTCCTCCTTGCCTTCCATTCTGCCTTCCTGTATCATCTTCGAGTGGGGTCCAGGGATTAGAGAGAGCAAGGGATGCAAATCAAAGAAATGCCTTGATGGTCCAAGCTCCTCCGCTGATCTTGGGGAAGCTGCTTCAGGGCAAGGCTGTGTATGTTCCCTTGGGCTTTGCTGGGCGAGTATGGGACACCTTTCTCCTCTGAGGGGTACATCTACTACCGCACTTCACACACTTCGCTACAGAGCCAGGCTTTGAGCCTACATGCGGTGACTTGGATAAGGGGGCCAAAGTCCCTTGGTCGACCGAGTGTCCAGAAGGATGTGATTAAATGGCAATACTCTAGCGCCTTCCTCTAAAGGAACACTAAGCGTAAATGCCCCTCTGGGCACCTCACGTTTTGCATTGGTCTGGGCTGTGACCAGCTGACTATGATCCCCACGGAGGTCTGTGTCATAGCATTTCCTGAGCAAATTTTTGATTCATTGGGTGTTGAGTTTTCCCTAGACTTCTTGTGGAAGGCAGGAGAGGGGACAGGAACCTGTTCCAGGGAGTGCCAAGAAGGTCTCATGTGGGCTCATTGGCTTTCCTTTCTGCCTTAACTGAAGTCACACTGCAAACACTTTTCCTCTGGAAATGGCAGGGCTGGAATAAGACTTGAGATGCCCTTCTCCATAAGAGGAGCAGGACAGCCTACCCGCCCATAATTAAAATACGAAAGCCACACTCAACCTTTAAATAAGCACAAGGAAGTCCGACTATTTCCCACACCGTTTTGTTGCAATGTTGAACTATTGTATTACATCTCTCATTTGGGAGGTGCCCTGATCTGCTGATGCCCTAAGCACATGTCTTTTGGGGGTTCAGTCATGGGAAGTGACCTTCCTGTGAGCAGATGGCATAGCTTTTCACAGGTTCCAAATGCACTTCTTTGGATCTAAGACTGACATCTGCAGAGTGGTGTTTATCCAGGGCGCTCCCTTGCCTCTGAATTGCCTCAGGTGCAGACCTGTGGGGTCTTCCCCAGCTTGTAGATCCCCATTGCCTCTGTCTCCTCGAGAGCACCATGCATGCATGTGGCTGCTCCATCCAGGAAGTACAGGGAGCTGGCCTCGTCTGTCCCCCAGGTATGATGGGCTGACCCAGAGCGAAGTGGACCCGCAGCTGGAGGAGCTCCTTGGGCTGGTGGTGTGGCTGACGACCTGCGGCAGGTCAGAGCTGAAGGTGTTTGACAGCGTCACCTACCCTCAGCTTGAAGGCTTCAAATTTCATCACGAGGCATCTGGTGGGTCCTTCTTGTATCTGGGTGACCGGAAGAGTGAGTGCTGAGCCCTGAGAAGGCTGCAGAGGGTCTTCTCCTGATTCTTTGCATACCTTTCAATGGTGCAGTAAGCTCTGATTCTGTCACAACCTTTGGGGAGATAATGAATGTCTTCTGTGAGACTTAGTGGAAATATTACTTAATAAAGGCAAAGACTCTCTCAAATAACGGAGGCAGCCTCTAGTTCTCTCCCTCACCCCTGGTGTGATTTCCTCTGCAACATTTGCTTATATAATGGGGACTGATGGCCCTAAAGCAGCCATCCGGGCTCAGAGTCAGTGACTTCTCAGTACTCTGAGACATTGATTGATTGATGAACTCATTTAGCAGGCACGGATAGTTTCTGTGTGGCAGGCACTCTGCCCCACGCTAGGTGCCAGTGTGAACAAGCCAGTTGTCTGCTCCTTAAAAGTCCTCTATAGAGACTGTCACATGTCCCTGAACCCTAGTCTGCTGGAGAATCGGCTAAGAAATGCATCAGGCACAGCCATGACCCAGCTCAGACAGGAAACCTCGAACAGAGGGCCTGCCAGAGGGAGTTTTCAAGGCTAAGTGTGGGTTGTCTAGGTTGAAATGAAGGGAGAAAGTTTAAAGGCAGAAATGACAGTCTGGGGAATAAATGGTGGCCTGGATGGCTGGGTGAGTCTGGGCAGTGAGAGCTTCTGCAGAATACAGGCAGGGACGCTGCAGTGCTGTAGGGTTCAGGTTAAGAAGGGCCATTGGACGCCATTGGACGGGATGCAGTAACACATAGGGGCGCAGACATGGTTTAGGGGAGTCCCTGAATCAGAGAGGAGTTTCACAAACATCTCTGGTATCTGAGGCAGAGAAGGCTGGAGGCAGGGAGCTTTCTGACAAAGTGTCTCCTGTGGGAGAGAGAATGAGGCTTAACCTTCAAGCTGGAGGAAAAGGTGGGGGTGGGTCAGGAAAGTGTAGTTATTTATCAGCTTGTCTAGAAACAAAACTGACTTTGCTAGTAATCTCCAACATCTTTTGATTTTAATCACTGAAACCAATCTTCCTAGCCCAATGCTGTCCAATGGAAATACAATGCAAGGCACATTATATCATTTTAAATGTAATTTTTAACTATAAATAAGAAGAGACAAGTTAAATTATTTTTGATAATATATTTTATTTAACTCAATATATCCCAAATATTACCATCTCAATATATGGTCAATACAAATAATTGTAAACAAGATGTTTTGCTTCGTTTCCTTTGTATTATCTTTTTGAAATCTAATGTGTACTTGACCTTTACGGCACACATCAGTTCAGAGTGGCCACAGTTTGAGTGCATCTTGGACCACGCCGCACCAGCCTTCTTCACACCCCAGGTGACTGACTTTTCTGGACTTCTGGTGGACATGTGCCCATAGGAGTTAGAACACAGAAACTTCAAATGGCATGTTCTCTTAGTAATGAAAATATCTATTTGTAGACACAGGCAGGAGAAATGACTTGCAAGATCTTTCTTATTTTCCTCCTCAGGGGTGACTGTTAAGAATCTTCAGGCCTTCCAGGTCCTACAGAATGTTTTCCACAAAGCCAGTGACTCTGTCCTCTGCATACAAGTCTTATCGGCCATCAGGACCATGTGGGCCTGGAATGCTCGAAACTTCTTCCTGCTGGAGTGGACCCTGCAGCCCATCTCGCAGTTTGTAGAGATCATGCCCCTGAAGCCGGCCCCAGTGCAGGCACACTTCTTCCAGCTCCTAGAGGCCCTGGTGTTCGAGCTGCACTACGTGCCTCATGAGATTCTGCGAAAGGTGCAGCATCTGATCAAGGAGAGCCCTGGGCCGTCCTGCACTCTCATGGCCCTGCAGAGCATCCTCAGCATTGCTGGTGGGGACCCGCTCTTCACTGACATCTTCCGGGACTCAGGGCTCCTGGGCCTGCTGCTGGCACAACTTCGGAAGCAAGCCAAGATCATGAGGAAGTCAGGTGCCACTGGGCACATCGGGAGGGATGGGCAGGGGTCAGTGTCAGCCAGGTCTGGTCTTTGGGCCAACCTGGCTGCCCATCAAATGTAACAGAAAGTCAGCATGCCCATGTCACTGGGGAGGTATGCTTGGGACACACAGCTTCACAAAAGATAGGCAGCCTCCCAGTCTTCCCCATGAAGAAGTGAAAAGGATGGGTGAACTTGGGGCTAACTCAGGCCTTGTGAATTCCCAGGTTTTAGATATATCTTGCCCTAGACGTTGTGTGGGTGTATAGACAGGGAGACTGCAGGGGTCTGACAGCTCCTTAGGAATGGGAGCTCGGAGAGGCCTTGGGTTTGGGGGCCCTTCTGGGGTCTGCTGCTATATGGCTTCCTAGCTCACTCTGTTCACTTTACACTGTTGGCTCAGTGGTCTCCCACTGGGAGAGAGCTCCCTGGGGTCTTACTGACCCAGCACGCCCCTCTGAGTCTTGGTGCCCTGCTGGGCTGTATACCTGTGGCTCCTTGGCAATGTCCCCTTGCCCCTACTTGGCCCTTGCACCCTGAAGTCTGAAACCCAATAGCCTCTGCTGCTCCCCTGGGGCTTTAGGGTCTCACGAGGGTGCACAGTGGCTCAGGGGTTGGGCTCTTGCACTGCCTCACTGTGCTCCCCACCATATATCCTGCTGGAGTCACTCTATGTGGTGGTCTTTAACTCCCATCTCCATTGACTTTCCAATAGGAAGCGAAGTGTGGAAACTCCTTCCCCAGCTCCTCTGGTCTTTCCCTCAGTCTCTCTACACCTGCTTCTCTGGGGAATCAGCCTGGAGGAGGGACACTGGGACACAAGAATCTGGATGCTTACTCTGCCTACCTTCCCTCCTTTAATTCTCCTTCTCCCACTGTACTGGCTGGAAGGGTCAGGGAGCTCTCTAGCCTTTGGTTGCTTCTGTAATTCTGCTTCAGACTTAAGCCAAGGTCACCAGTCTATCTGTTTCCTGGGCCTCTCTGAGGGAAAGGAGCTAAGGGCTGGAATCCTGGTCATGCTACTGACAAACTGAGTGATCCTGAGAAAGTGACTTAACCCCTATGGACTGTGTCTTCCTTGGTAAAACAGGGAAATGATGGACATCATTGGAATGCTGTGAGATTTTAATGAGGGAATCTCTGAATAGGAGCCACTGCTGTGCCTGGTACATAACAGGAGCTCAAGAAACATCAGTCACCTTGTCCCTATAGTTCCAGTGCTACTGCCATAGACTGAGATAGACACCTAGGGAGGAGCTCAGGCATCTTATAGAGGCCAGGACGGACCCAGCTTCTCCCTGGGAGTGTTTGCAAATAGGATCAGGACTGTGGAGGATGAGCCCAAGGGATGGTTTGTGCGTCTGGGCCTCTGGGCCAAGTCCTGGACAATATTTTATGAGCTAGCTTCTATTGCTTAGTAACTTCTGTCCTTAAATCCTATCATGAATGAAGTTAATGTATTGCTTCCTCTGCTTTCCTTGGTGTTTAAATGAGAAGTCTCTGCACAGTTTCTTTGTTTGTTGGTTCTGTCTTATCTTAGCTGGTATTTCTTTTCAGCAGCCTAACATTGAATTTGCTTTTAAATCCAATTCCAGACCCATGACCATTCCTAGGATAATTTGAACTTTTTTTTGTGAACTCATGCATTAGTCTTACTTTGTACTTTCCATTGTTAAATGTGTCTTGTTATTTCTTAGATACTCTGTCTCCTGGTTTATAAACTCTATTTTGATTGATTGATTGATTGATTCATTCATTCATTCATTCCCCCAAATAAGTATTGAGCTTCCAATTTGTGTCAGGCACTTTTCTGGCACGGAGATTCAAGGTGAATAAAGAGATCTGGTTTTGCCCTCATGGGTCTACTGGGATCACCTCTTTACTCCAGTTTCTCTTGAGCTTCCCCATGGCTCAGGAATGAGTCGGCAGTCATCCCTCCCAAGGATGAATGGCAAACTGTAAAAGTGGCCAAAGGAAAATCAAGAAGGCAGGGCTCTGTGTATCATCTGGGGCAATGCTTCTCAAAGAGCAGTCCCTGGACCAGCCCCATCAGCATTGCTTGGGAACTTCTCAGAAATGCAAATTATAGAACCCCATCCAAGAACTACTACATCAGAAATTCTCAGGATGCGATCCAGCATGGGGCTCTGGGTTTTAACAAAATAAGCTCTGCAGGGAATGCTGATGCACTCAAGATGGAGAACTCTGCTGTAGGGGGTAATAGCCTTCTATCTTACCAATTGGGATACACATTCCCTTATGATGAAGGCATTATATTCACATCTCCTTAAGAGGGTAGAAACCTGGAGTCAGAGATTTGGGGTCATACCACATGTACTTATTTTTCTGTTGTTGTTGTTTCTTCAATATGGCAGGAAACAAACTGTCCACTCCTGGTGTTCAGGATCCAGAAAGAGAACTCACATGTGTGATGCTGAAGACTGTAGTCACACTTCTGAAAGGCTCGGTGAGGAATGCAGGTAAGGATGGTGCCAAGTTTGCCTCATCACTGCTTGGTAAAACATGAACTCTTTCCTGGTTATTCATGGCAGTGTTCACAGGTTATACTCAAGGAATAACCAATACACAGCGTTAGCTGTGGCTAATGTCCCTCTCCTGGCCGATGTTCAGTGATCATCAATAAGTTCGTAGATACTGTACCTCTGTTGACACTTTTTACCTCTAAGATTGCTAAATAAAGTTGGTGACAAAAAGACTATGCTCAATCTAGCATTTTCTAAATTTATGAGACCACAGAGCCCCCTCTCCTCTTTTCAAGTGAAATTTATTAGTGTCCTGCTGCACTGACTATAGATGATTTTTAATTTTTTTAGATCCAAAGAGTAAAATACGGGCAAAGAAAGCTAGCCATTTTAAAGGAATGCAATTTGTTGTGCTCTCAGACATGATGGACTTAGCAATTTAATCCATTCAAATTTTCTTTTAGTGTTCTAAGATCATTTGGCTTCTGGGTTTTAAAAATAATATGAGCATATATATATATATAATGACATAGACACACCAACATCCAACATCATATCAGTGGGTTTGGAGATTTAGGCATCTTTATCTGAGGTCTTCGTAGAGTAACTATACCTAATGTAAAAAATTATTTCACTATGGCAGAGAGAGAGTCTTTAACATTTAACCTGTAAAAGGTTCCCCAGAGGTGCTGGCTAAATGTGTATTCCTAGGCTCACATCCAGACCTTTAATTAATAGTCAGTCAAGGTGGAGTTCAGGCATCTACATTTTTTTTTTTTGAGATGAAGTCTCGCTTTGTCACCAAGCTGGAGTGCAATGGCATGATCTTAGCTCACTGTACCCTCCACCCTCTGGGTTCAAGCAATTCTCCTGCCTTAGCCTCCCGAGTAGCTGGGACTACAGGCGCATGCCGCCATGCCTGGCAAATTTATTATTATTATTATTATTTTGTATTTTAGTAGAGACGGGGCTTTACCATGTTGCCCAGGCTGGTCTCGAGCTCCTGAGCTCAGGCAATCTGCCCACCTCGGCCTCCCAGTGTGCTAGGATTACAGGCGTGAGCCACCGCGCCTGGCCAGGAATCTACTTTTAAACAGGCTTTCAAGGTGATTTCCATGTCAGAGGTACCTAGCCTATAATTGGAAAAATCTTGTCTGCTCAAATCCTCATCAAACCATTTGAAGGATCCAGTTGCCTCCTAGTGTTTTTTTTTTTTTTTTTTTTCCCACATGAATTACTCCAATATAAATCCTGGGGAAAAAATGCTTGGAATTATTTTTAAACAAAAATGTACCGCCAGTCAGATTTCTTTAATTTTCTCCCCAAAGAACTATCTAGAAATTAAATATGTTCTTAGCTTAAATTGTGGTTTGCTTTCTATATGAATTTTGGCAGAGAGAAGACAGAAATTGTCATTGGCCCTGGGGAGGAAATTATGAGGAAATCAAGGGAGAGGTAGATCTAGTTAAAGCTTTTATTACTTAGATTTCTATTTTTTTTCTTTTTTTACCCCAAGAATTCATGACACTCTTATTAACTTTAGTCACCATGTCGTACAATAGACCTCTTAAACTTATTTCTCCTTTCTTGAATGTATCTCCTATGGGGAGATGTTAGTCATTTTTTTTTTTTTTAATAAAGTTCTCACTGGAGAAGAAAGCAGTTTTTTTGTTTTTTGTTTGTTTGTTTGTTTGTTTGTTTTTCGTCAAATCCACAGTTCTACAGTTTCTTTTTTCTGCTTCTCACTTCAACGGTGGGTATGGATTACCAAAAAATTTACCAGTGAGCAAAAGAGAATCATAAAAAAATAGCAAAATGAACTTTGAAAATTATAGGAAAAAGCTTTTTCTTTTGATTGAAACTGAAGTGGCAAGGTTCCCCCTGGCGCTAGCCCCATTCTGTCTGTCTGGTCCTTAGTTGTCCTGAAGGACCACGGCATGGTGCCCTTCATCAAGATCTTCCTGGACGAGGAGTGCTACCGGGAGGCCTCGCTCAGCATCTTGGAGCAGCTCTCAGCCATCAACGCCGAGGAGTACATGAGCATCATTGTGGGTGCTCTGTGCTCATCCACTCAGGGGGAGCTGCAGCTGAAACTGGATCTCCTGAAGGTGATTTCAAGTCCTCCTTTGAGATTGATTTTCCTATGGATATGGACCAAGTGATCCACATTTGCTTAGGCATTTGTATTCATGTAATTCAGTTTGCCACTGTATGTAGTAGGCAGTACCCTGTATTAGTGTCAGGTGCTGTAACAAATAAATTCCACATCCTCAGTAGCCTGGTACATTTGAAATTTCTTTCCAACATACAGTCCAGTCAAATGATTGGTGACTGTCGTTCAGGAACTACCATCACCTGGGCATCTAACTTGGGCAGCAGACAAGGGAAGAGAGACCATGGGGAAATGCACAAGGCATTTTTATTCAGGCCTAGAACTGGCACGTGTTATTTTCTGTCCGATTTTCTTTAGGAAGAACTTTGGGCAGGACTCACGTGGATGCAAGGGATGCTAGGAAATGTTTTTCCTGGCTAGGCAGCTACTTCCCACAACACTGTAAACTATGGAATTGCAGCTCAAATCAGCAATGGCCAAGTAGCTGCCTTGTTGATTCCATCAGCATTTATTGAGCATCTAACCCATTACCACGGCTGATGAAGAGTACCTGGGACTTATAGTCAATTATGATACAACCCTTGCCCTCTGGGAGCTCATAGCCTGGTGCTAATAAGTAAGCAATAGTTACCTTGCAGTGTAATGAATGCATTGGTTAGACACCGAGTGCAGGTTGCTACAGGAACACAGAAGTAGGAGAGCCCAATGCTGCCTTACCTGGTTGAGGAAGGCTTACTGGGGAGAGAACCTGTGAGCTGTGAAAAAGAAGCAAAAGGCAGTCAGAGGTGTGGAAACAGTGGACACAAAGGGACAATTGAGGCAGGGTTATCATGTTTGGGCAACAGAGATGTAAGTGTATGTTTTTGTAATATTGTTAACATTCGTCGAGTTATCTTAAAATAGTTAAATACATATAACAAATATCATTCTTGCCATCTGTTCTGCCTTACAACTTTCACAGTTTTGTTGCTGTTCCTTTTTTTACATTGCTTTTGTCTTTGAGTTTATGACTTTTAAAAGGATTGCTTCAGTGATCCTCCCACCTCAGCCTCCCAGCTAACTAGAACTAAAGGCATGTGCTATCACACTTGGCTAATTTTTGTATTCTTTGTACAGAGGGGGTCTTGTTATGTTATCTAGTCTGGTCTTCAACTTCTGACCTCAAGCAGTTCTCTCACCTCAGCCTCCCAAAGTGTTAGGATCGTAGGTGTGGGCCACTATGCCTGGCCAACATGCCCATGTTTCATTAACATGACATATGTGATTGTTGGTGAATTTTTTAAAAAGTGAAGTTGCTCTGATTTCCAAAATTAGGTCAATCATCAATCTAACTTACTTAAGCCTATCTCTATGCAAAACCTTTCTAACATTTAAAGAATGGTGTTTGGTTCATCATACTTAATTTTTCTGTGCATTCGATGTTAGACATTGATGTGAGTTGTTCCAGTTATTATGTGGCCTAAGCCAGCAGTGATTGGTGTGGCCAAAGCATTGCGTGGTCCATCCAAAACTGGTATCATGACCATAATCATCATACTTCACAGATGACAAGAGCCCAGACAGTGATTTAATTGCAGGGCCATAGAATCAGTGAAAGTGATTTGTACGAAACAAAAAAAGGAAAGTTAAATATCTTTTGAAAGACACTTGAATCCCATGATTACTTGAGGTAAGGAGATTGAGAGGGATGGGTGAAGCAGAGAGTAGGATAAGGGAGAGATATATCAAAAATAAAGAAAATACGGGAGCTAGGAATTACCTCAGATTCATGTGGTCCAATCTCTTAATGTTAAAGGCAGAGAGACATCCAGAGAGCTTCATTGACTAAATTAATATTGCACAACTGCTAAATGGTGAAGTTGAGTTTGAATCTAAGGTGAGCAACTGAAAACTGATAGATCATTCCACTTCACTGTGCTGTTTGGTACATTTTCCTTCATATGTCCATGTTCAGCTTGACTGGCATGTTCTGATAGGATAGGAACAGGGAAGGCATGTCTTAACCAGTCATATTGTGGTTTCCTATTGGGTGAATAATTGTTTCTGACAGTGCTGTATCAAAAGCCAAACAGATCCACAGAGAGGAAAGTTTTGCTTTTACTTTGCTTGGAAGGTAAAAGTATTTTTCTGTCCAATGTAGAAAAGAGTGATCTGCTTTGCTCATAGAAAGTTCCTTTTGTTTACTCTGCAGCCCAGAGTCATTGTATTAGAGTGTCAGTCCTTGGGCAATAGGACTAAATTTCTAGAATTAGTAATGTAAAGTCGTTATGGTGTTTTACAGATTCAATATCATTTCAGAATCAGTTTTCAAGAGAGCACATAAGGGAAGAACACTGGTGAGCTTATTTAACGAAATCATAGCCTGCACTCAATGTGCTGTCTTCTCCCTGGGTGCCAAGTCATTGCTGGGCAGTTGGAGGCCCCAGGAGCTGGCATTGTTTTCCAAGGGCTAGGGCTGTTACACTGCTCCTCTAGGGGGCAGTTGGGAGGACTCGTGCCTCTTCCAGACTTGCCCACCACTGAGTCACATGAGCAAGTGGTGAAGGCTTGCTGGAATCAGATGTGAGATCTACATTTGTTTCTAAATCATCATGGGAATCCCCTGAAACTTTGGAACGAAGATGTTAAGTGAATTGTTTCTCACTGGATCTCTCTCTTTAGAAGGTAAGAGCCAACTCTGCCCATAGGGACTGTTTCTACAAAGTGTGTCTGAGTAGGATGAGAGGGTGCCCCTTCTTGTAAAGGTTTCCCATCTCCAACGTGCATTCACAGCATGCCATCACTTTGCATCCCTTCCCTGTGGCCTGTGTGCCAGCCACTCTGGAGAAGCAACTTCAGGCAGTTACTTCAAATACCAGTGGCGCTTCCATACCAACACTGAAGCACATGTGACTTCACCACCTAATTCTGGCAAATGATAACTGAGTTAAAGAATAATGTAAGCAAATGAATTTCCTCTCCTTGGCCGGTGGGACTGTGATTGGGTTATGCACAAATTCAGATTGATTTGCTAATATACATTTAGCTGTTCAACTCTGAGCTTAATTGCATTACCTCACCGGTATTCCAGCATGACACATGGAAAATTATGAGGAATAACAAATAATAGAATGTGAAATAAATCCTGTTAGTCCTAACATAGTTAGCGCTTTGCAGCAGACATCCATTTTATAGATTCAAGCTGGAGGAATACTAACTCAGAGACGATGACATGGTAACTGAGTTAGGATGAGAAAATGTGCTTAACGCTGACCTTTCTTGAAATGTGTCAACCCCAGCCTGATTACTTTGACTTCAACTGATTAAATTTACTCCCTTCTGCAGACTGGAAACCCTATGTGATGCATTATCATGCAAAGTTGAATGACAGTAATGGAGACCCTCCTCCTAGACTCCCCATTCCTGACAAATCATTTCCCGAAGTAGCGAAGTATTTATTTTCCTTTATGACAGAAATGTTTCTCTTTAGTTGCTATGAAATTAAACCTTTGTAATTGGATTTTGGACTCTTTACTTTATGACTCTGCAAATATGAAATTAACCCCATCCCAAGAAATAATAGCGGGGTCTAAGTTCTAATGAGATTACCCCCATTTTAGATAATGACTCTGAATTTAATAAATCAAACAAAGCAACAATTAAGGACAGCCATTCCTTCCTCCTCTCCCTCCCAAGAGGAGGAAAAGAAAATAACCATCTAGGAATTATAGGTGACAAACCCGCTGAGAGACACAGATCATAATGAGGGCGATTATTGGGTTGCTTTGCTTTTTAAAATATCTGCTTCAACACTCTTTGAGTGATGGAGTTCTTTTGAGCAATATTTGGCATCAAATTGGACAATTAAATTGGGAGGGAGTTCCTTGGGGGGAAGAGGGGTTTATAGTGATCACCAGCACTCAGGCAATTGTCTGTAATCTGATCAGTTTTGTTTTTTAATGATTCTCCCTTCCCGATATTTGTTTTGTCATGTGTTATGTGACAAACAGAAGCGCTTATTCATTCCATTTGCCTTAAACAAAGCTCCTAGAGGTCTTAGAGCCATTGACAGCACTCACATAAATTTAATCTGTTTAACATTGTAGAGCTTAAGATTTCCTGATGTCTTTGTGACTGACTGACTTTTCATGGCATGTGTCATGTGACCAGGCATAGGTCAGGTTCAGACCCGTGCTGTACCACATTGCAGTGAACAGCCTTTGGTATGGTTTATCAGTTAGAAAGGAGGGACTGAAACCACACACACATGTCAAGGTTGGAGTGAGTTTCCAACTTAGTCATACAAATAACATTTTATTGGGAGTGAGTTGCTCACACAAGGCAGGCACAGATGCAGTGTAGCTGCCTTAGCCTTTCCTGGCCCCAGAGCCTCCCGGGTGGGGCAGGGACAGGCAGCTGCTATGACTCTGTCTATACAGGGAAAGGCCTTGCCCACCCTAAGCCATGAGCTTTCACAAACGCACACTCAGTATCACCATCCTGGAGGAACCCACTCCAACAATTCGCATGCTTCGCTTTGAGGGTGCATCTACAAATGTTCAACTTTCCTGGGTTTTCAGCCAAATTCAGAAAGAATTAGGCCACATCCTCACTCGGGAGGAGAAAGCAGTATCATTGCCCCCGTCCTTCAGGTGGCCTGGGAAGTTATTTCCCTGAAGTCTTTCCCACGATTCAGACTTGACCGTCCCCTTTAGTGGGTGGCCCTGATGCTGGGTTTCTTTCAAAGAGCAAAATGACAGTTCATTTCCCCGCAGTGTCCCTCTGAGATGTGGTGGGGTATCATTGATCTAACCACTGTAAGTAGTGCATTTTCTATAACGGGGAAAAGATCAATTGACCTGTATTGGTATGGATGAATCTTTCTACCTTGCTTTATGTTATTTGTCCATTTTGAATATACTTATGGACTTTGGTCTTTCATAGATTCTCCTAGTAACTGCAATCTGTTTTGTTTTTTAAATTTCTGGAAATGTCATAGATGGGGCCCTGGAAGCCCTTTACGCAGATCCTTGGCTGCTGCTTTTCTTCATCTTTGAAAGAATCCTCACGTGTGCACTAAGAGAGGGCAGGCTCCTCTTGTGTCCTCTGACCCGGAATGTGAGACTGACTACTCACCCAGCAGCTCAGGTTTCCTGTAGTGGAATATAACATTAGAGAACAAAATCCAAGTGGTCGAAACACATTCTACTGTTTCAAATAAACACCACCGTTAGGTTAGGGTGCCAGCAGTTAAGAGATGCAGCAGGATACTCAGGAAACTGAGGCAGGAGAATCACTTGAACTGGGGAGGCATTGAGCCGCGATCTCGCCACTGCACTCCAGCCTGGGCAACAGAGCAAGACTCCATCTCAAAAAAACAAAAAACAAAACAAAACAAAAAAGATGGAGCTCCCAAAGTGCATGACTTCATGTTTGATAGTGACCTATAACTTTACTAAGTTTCTATTAACTAAAACGAATTTAAATATCTAGTCCCTTCCCACCTGTTTTTCTGAGCTCCCAGTTTTCTCTTTTTCACTAACTTCCATGTGTCATATTACAGACTGTCACCTAAACCAGGCATTTAAGTCACAGCATCACCTCTCCCCCAAATAGGGAGTTTCTCTTTTATTTTTTCTCTTTGAACCTTGTCTGAGGCCTCCTGAAACTGATGCCAAACTGTACCTTCTCAGACAATCCCCTTGCCTGTCACACCAGAGCATTAAATATCTGAAAAGATAACATAATTCACACCTCTCTCCGCAGTTTACTAACGAACCCTCAAGGTTGTCCGCTCTCTAGGAAACACACCAAATGCCTGAATTTTAGATGGAGTCCAGTGCAATTTATCTGATCAATAAATATGTACCAAAAATAACAGGCTTTTAATACTTATTTAAAATCTTCCATGTGTTTTTCACATTTCGATGAAGCACAGTATGAGAACTGCTTAAATGTAGCCCCCACCTTCCTCTCTCTCTTCCTCCTTCCTTCCTTCCAATAGCACGTATTGATTACCTAGAGTATATACCATGCACTGGGCTCAAGTAAGAAAGTGCTCAAGAAAGGTTTGATTTTAGAAGGAAATAAAAGTTTGGCTGGCCAGTAAAACTCACAGTGATCTGGAGGGTGGTGGATTCCATGATGTATCCTATCAGTGACCTAATTGCTTTCTGCACAGTTGGCCTATGCTATGTGTTATACCTATGCATTTCATTCGATTGCAGGTTTCTCTTGTCTTTCTGACACACTCTTTTCACACCACATTTTAAGTTGATTCATTTTACTGTTTCCCCTCATCTAATATAACAGATGAAGCCGTGCTTGCACAGAGAGGGAGATAAGGAATAACAAGCTGCTTCTATAAGGATTTCATTGTGTGTCTCCTGTACAGTATAAGAGATGGTTCATCCCACTCATTTAGCAAATTGTCATTAAGTGTGTGCTGTGTTCCACAGTAGTAAGGAAGCCAGATATGGTTCCCATCTCGTGGAGCTTCAGTCTGGTGGAGAGCTGAGATGATTTTCAAGTAGCTGCAGTAGAGTAAGACGAGAATTTTGATCAGGGAATGAGATGGGGATGTGTGAGCACTCGATCTGGGATAAGTATGAACTACAGGACAGAAGCTTTCTGGAAGGATATGCATTCAAGTCAAAATACAGGACAATTAAATCAACCCTATAGATTAGTGTAGTAGGCACACATGGAAAACCTGAACCGTAAGAGGAACAATATGGAGATCCCAATGTTTCAGAATCATCCTTCCTGTAGCTTGTTGGTCTGAAGGCGTTGAGGGAAGAGCTAGTGGGATGCTCTGGCAGGCATGTGTGTGGGCTCAGGGTTAATCTACCTCCTGGAGTGTACTCATTTTGATTTGCTTGGTGTTTCAGTCTCTGCTCCGGATCCTGGAGACCCCCAAGGGCCGTGCTGCCTTCAGAGTCTCCAGCGGGTTCAACGGGCTGCTCTCTCTGCTCTCTGACCTGGAAGGCTCCCTCCAGGAGCCCCCGCTGCAGGCATGGGGAATAGTGTCCCCCAGACAGACCCTGGAGCTGGTTTTGTACACTCTTTGTGCTGTGTCCGCAGCGCTGCACTGGGACCCTGTCAACGACGACTTCTTCAGGAGGAATGGGCTCTTTGAGAAGCTGGCTGAGGACCTCTGCCTGCTGGGCTGTTTTGGAGCCCTGGAGGAAGAGAGCGCCCTGCTGCGCTCTTGGGCGGACACAAAGGCCAGGCCATTTGCAGATTTGCTGGGCACTGCCTTTTCCTCCAGTGGCTCACTCCCACCCCGGATACAGAGCTGCCTCCAGATCCTTGGCTTTCTGGACAGCATGGCCAGCGGCACCCTCCACTTGCGTGGGGACCTGAAGGAGTCCCTGAGGGCCAAGCAGGGGCCGGTTGTGGACTCTCAGAAGGGAGAAGCTGGCAGTGACCCCCAACGCAACTTCAAGCAGTGGCCAGACCTGGAGGAGAGGTAGCTTCTTCTGCCAGTGTGTCATCAGTGCGTCTCTGTCTCCCATTCTCACTCTAATGTCTTGTGCATGTGTAGTCGGTAGGAAGGCTCAGCTACAGAATGGGTGTGCAGAAATGTCATGTGACCTCCACTTCCTCAAATCAAGTTATCTCTGACTCTACACTCTTCTACCTTGGGAGCTGACAGAAAATTCAATCTGAGTCAGTACTGGGTTGGAGGATGCTGTCAAGTCACATAAGAACCAGGGAGGGCAGGACTCTGCTGATATACTCACCTTCTCCTTTGGGATCTTTACTGTCCTAGGGAGCCCTGGTGCCTGGGCCTGGCATCCCTGGGTGTGCCAGGCAGCCTTGGTCTTCTCAGGTTTTATCTCCTCCCCAGGGCGCTGCCAGGGGTGGGGTGAGATCCTTTGATCTGCAGGACACAAACCACAGTGTCCACCCCAATTATGGAACTCTTTCTGTTCTTTCTTGCTGCTTCTACACCCCCTAACAAAGACAATTGCTCTCCTTACTTCCTCAGGCCAAACACCTCAATGGGTTCAGACTTTAGTAAACAACTTTTTCCTCTCATGTCTGTAACAGAGAATTCCACTAAAGCAAGAGAGCACAAAGAATCATCCCTACCCACCCCTCTTGGGGTGGGAAGGAAAATGAAAGAACACAACAGCAACAGTTGGTATCTTTTTCCATTCCTCTAAAGCATAAATGACAGAACACCCATTACTACTGCAGTAAGTTATCCTTCTGAAAGACACTGCATTTTTATCCAGAGTGCCCCATTTGCCAGACTTCAGTGTTGGGGATAGTAGAGAAGGATGCATGTTAAATCTCCACACACTGAGATAATTATGATTTTGGGGGGTTAATCTCGCTAATTAACTGGTTTCCTAATCTTGCATTCCTGCACAAACCAACTCATTCATAATCTGTGTATTGCTGAATTTCATGTACTAATGTTTAAAAAGGATTTTTGCACTGATGTTCAGGAGTTTGGCCTTTCATACTCCTTTCCTGGCTATTTTTCTTGTCAAATTTACGCTAGCATCATAGCATGAGTTGGACAGTGCTTCTCTTCTATGCTATGGAAGAGTTTATGTAGGGATTATTTCCGTTCCCTAGCTAATGTGACAGAACTTGCCACTAAATCCTGTGAGCCCGGTTTTTTCTTGTGAGAAAATTTATTCTCATGAGAATGCACTTCTATTTGTTCCTGGATTATTCTTGGTTTGTTATTTTGCAAGCTGATTTTCCCATTTCATCCAAGTTTCCATTTGTGGGCATCCAGCTGCTCACGAAGGCTCCCTCATGCTCTGCTGAGCAGCCCTTGTGAGTTCTGTGACTCATTTCTAACACTATTTACCTGCATCTTTCTTGCTTTTTCTGCTTCAGCACTATTCACAGATGTTTATTTTTCAGTGTGTCCTATGAACCAACTTTCGACTTTTCCTGTTTCTCCTACTTTTTTTTTGGTTATCATTTCCTTCTACCTTTGGGCTTATTCTGGTGTTCTTTTGCTTAACTTGGATGTCTGTTTCCTTTTTCTTTTACATATAAATTTTTCTGTAATTCGTAAGTTTTATTTTCAGTTTCATTTAGTATGAAATATTTTTCTAATTTCCCTTATAAATTATAGTTGACTCCTAAGTGTTTGAATTTTGAATTTCCATTGTTATAGTGTTTCTGGTCATCTTTGCTATTTACTTCTCACTCTGTCAAGGTGACCGTCTGGGTTCTTATCCTTCAAAATTAGTTGAGGTTGACTTCATGGCCCTCAATGTAGTCCCTTCTCATAAATATTCTACATGTGCTTGGAAATAATGCATATTCTCAGAGTGTTAGATTTGATGTTCTATTTATGTCCCTTGGATCGAATTTGTCAATTGTTTCATTCAAATATCCTTTATCATTAATTTTAAAAGTCGGCTTGAAATATCAGTTTTTTGTTTTTGGAATAAACAGGCTTTATTGGGCTCATGGGTCTTGAGGGCCTCTCCACGTTCTTTTCGGCCTGTTTCTACAGTCTCATGAGCTATTTCTTCTTCTGGTAGTGGGTCTCGGCCTTCTCTTTCTTCTTCTCCTCCAGGGTAGCTGTCACTGCCTGGTACTTACAGCCAGCCTCTTGAGCCAGGCGCCCCACGTAGGCAGACTCTCTCACTGGCTTCAGATGCACGGCCTTGCGTGCAGCAGGAACCCCCATCTGGTTTTCCTGTTGTAGGGCGGTGGGATTCCATCGAACACCTCGGGGTCCAGGGCAGCCTGGCTTCCCTGGGTCTTGCGGACAGCGGGCCCTACACTGTCTGCTAGAAGAAGCTGCTGGGGGCCAGGAAATAATGGGCCCCTCGTCAGAGTTGGTGTTCATCCGCCTGCGGAAGAAGGCCGGCTACTTCAGCTTATTTCTGTAGAAATTGTCAGAAATGTTGACGCCGTCGCAGCGCACCACCACCTTCCAGCCTAGCAGTACCTGCTTCGCCACAACGGCCGCCAGGTGGCCCAGGAGGTGGCCTCGACCTCCATCACCGGGACCTGCCCCTCCGCCACCTGCAGCAGCGGCCTGGGAAATGGAGTATAAGTTCTTCAGAATGATGCATTCAAAATCTCTTGTGATAAAGTGGATGTGTCAATTTCTGTTGAATTTTCCCTTACATATATTTGAGGTTATAAGAATCATACCTATTTAGAATTTTTATATTCTTATGGAGTCTAAATTTTTATCATTATATGGTGACCTTTTTATCCCTAGTAGTACATTTTGCCTTAATAATAATAGGACTATTATTATTATCAGGTTTCTTTTGGTTAGTTTGTTCCTGAGCTTTTTCTTCATCCTTTGGTTTTAACCTTTCTGTATACTGTCCTTACATTTTTAGGTGTTTTTCTTGTAAACAACAAGGAACCATTTTTGTTGGTTTTACTTTGTTTTTCAATCTAGTGTGGTATTGTCATTTAACTGGAGAATGTCATTTGTTTACACTTTCATAATTATTAATATATTTGGAATGATTTTTACTTAGCTTTTTACATTTATTCCACTTTTAAAAAACATTTTTGGTCTTATTTTTGAATTGTTTGATTTTTAAAAATTGTGTTTCCTACCTACTAGTATGAAATTTAAACTCTCTATGATTAATTTTATAGTAGTTACCCTAGAGTGATTTAACAGGCATACTCATGTTTTTAGTTAAATAGTATCTTTATCCATCCAATTAAGACATCAAGACCTTAAAACTCTTAAATATTTTTGCCCTTTTCTAACTTATACATTACTATTAGCTAATATTTTAAATTTGTCTCCTGTTAGTAAATCCATCAGATATGACAGTTGTTGTTGTTTTATAAAATAGTCTTTGGATTTACTTACATGCTTTCAATGTCTGTGCTCACTATTCTTTCTTGCATCTCTGTTCTTCCATCTGGGATTCTTTTTTATCTACTCTAGTACATCCATTAAACTTTCCTGTAGTGTGGGTCTATTTGTGATAAACTCCCTTGGATTTTATTTGTGTGAAAATATATTTTCTCCCTAATTGCTGAAAGATAGTTTTGCTGGGTATACATTTATTTGTTGACAGTTATCTTCTCACAGTAAATGGAAGGTCTCCCCAGCTATTGCCTTCCATTGTTGCCCTTTAAAAATCGTTTTTATTTCTCTTCCTTTGAAGGTAATTTGTCATTTTTCTCTGGTGACTTTTAAGATCACCATTCTCATTCTGTTGCTTTACTGTCATATATCTCAATGTACATTATCTTAAACATTCATTTTGCTTCATATTCATTGGGCTTCCTGAATCCCAACTGATGTCTTTTATAAAATATGAATTTTAAAATTATGACCTCTTCTCCATCCCTTTTCCTATTATGCCTTTTTGGAACTAACACAATTAGATGTATGCTTTACTTTTTCATTCTATCCTCCATGTCTCTTAATCTTTCTTTTACATTTTCCATCTGTTTGTCTCTCTGTGCTCTGTTCCAAGCAGTTTCTTTTGATCTTTCTTAAACCCACTGAATCTCCTACTAGATGTGTCTAATCTGATATATAATCTAGCCATTTAGGTTTTCTTTTTAAAATTTCGATGACAGTATTTTATATTTCTAGATATACTGTTTGGTTGTTTTTCAAATTAACTTGATTTAATAGCCCTTTTGCTTGTTCATATCTGTCTGTCATTTTTATTTCTTCAAACATAGGAATCATAATTATTTCTTCTTGTGTTTTTTGAGAGTCTATTGTTTCTGTGACAATCATGGAAGGTTCCTTTTGTGATGTCTAATTTTTTATTGTGAATCTTGCTCCAAGATTTTCCTTTTCTTGGATTCCATGGAAACCATCCTCATTCTGGCCATCCTGCCTTTCTGTAGATATGGGAATGCCTCCATGGGGTCTTAGCTGCACTTTCCAAGCCAGGCCTTGACCAGATTCCCAGGTCCTGATTTTCTTGCTTGTCTTGGGAAGAATTCCTTCTCTGGGTTCCCTGTTCTGTATATTTCAGGGGCAATCCCTGAGGAGACCTTTTTCTTGGGCACCCTGATAGCATACAGGTTAACTTAGGATCTTGGTATGGAAACTTGTTCGACTTATTCTACCAACTCTCAGGGGCAGGGGAATATTTGTCAGTACCAAAGGACATTTAGTAAGTGATATCAGGTGAAAAAAGGCAATAGTAATTAGTTGAATGTCTCTGGAGGCTGAGCACTAAATATCTATTTATTTTTATTTCCCTCCCAAACTTTGGAATTTTATCAATAAGGAAACAAAGGCTGAAAAAGAATAAAAAACATGGCCAAAGGTCACACATTTAGTAATTAATAAAGCTAGAATTTGAACCCAGGGCTACCTCCAAAGCCTGCATACATTTGTTTGTGTGTGCCTGTATGTGTACACACGTGTGTGTGTTCTTCCTGTTTTTTTCCTGATACTCCCACAATAATAGTGATAGTTTTCCAAATGTCAGACACGACAACCTGCAGTTTGAAGATCGGGTTCTAACCTATGGGCTG